TTTTCTCTGCAGAGAAAATCCTCAGAAATGACAATCTCACATGTAGCCCCCGTAAAGCGTTCACGCTTTCAGAGCCTCCCCCAAACACTAACATCAGAGCCCCTCCTCCAGCCCTTCGGCGAGACCCAGACAATTAATGAGTGAGGACGGCAGCATCTGATCCCTGGGATTCAGCCAAACATATTCTCCTCGCTGCAGTTTTCAACCCAAAAGCGAGTTCAGGAGAAACACGCCGTGGCCTTGGTGTAGTATAATCTCACGGTCTCAGTCCAGAGCTCGGTGAACAGGTGTTCACGTCACAGAATCACCACGACCATCGGCCCTAACTTGTCCCCTTTTCTCAGCAGAGATATGCAGGCCTGGCCGGAGCCAAGCTGAGGTACGTTGTCAGGGCAGCTTGCTGTCACTGCCCTTCTGTGCATGAAGAGAGGACAATGGGGCAACTTGAACTAAATGAAAGGCTAAAGTCAGCCCAGACCACATCTCCACGGGACCGTCTGGGCTAAGCAACGTTACCCCTCTGCATGGCACAGATCCAAGATTGTTACCTGTATTGCTCCAAATCTAGCTTATTTCCCAGCAGGAGGATGGGATAATCGTGCTGAATGCCTTTTGTGTGGAGGGAAATGGTATCCAGGTACTGCTGGCAACCTTCAAAGCTCCTTTTGTTGTCAATGCTGTAGACGACCATGAAGGCATTGGCCCAGTTGAGATAGCGTTCGCAGTTCACCGGTACGTCCTAGCACAGTAACACAGGACAGCATTATCATAGGCCCCCGGTGCCACTATCAGAGCCCGTCTGGGGGCTCTCGGGCTTTGTACATTGTTTCAAAACTAAGCCTATTTCAAAAGGCCGTTTGAGAGCGGACTTGGCTTGGCATGAAAAAGTTCCTTGTGCAACGAATCAATGATATTAAACAGCTCACGCTGCCCCGAATCAGAGCAATCAAAAGCACACAGTGGCGGCGTCAGGTTTTCGCTCAGGCAGGCTTCCAGGAAGACTAGCCTTTCAGGCGGCCTTTTGCATTGATTCGTTTAATCGGTGGGTTTTCTTTGTAACAAAGAAATTCTGTTTGTGGCAGGGAGAGCCAGTGGGAAGGCCTTCTGGGATGGACTGGCAAACTCCAGGGGGCCTGTCCAAAGCCCAGTGGAAGGCAGTGGAAATCTTTCCATTGACTCCAGTGGGCACTGGTGGGTCACTCTCGCCAGGCCCCCTTTCCCTGGCGACGCCAGCAGCAGGAAGGAGGCTGAGATCAGAGCCCCTGCCCCACTTGCGTGTCACCTGTACCCAGACACGCCAGCTGGTCTCGGTTACACATAGAATCTGGAGTTACTCCATGAGCTACAAACAATAAAATATATACACACAAGTGAGTCCCTGTCTGGGTCACGCTGCAGAGACATCGCTGACGTATCGTACAAGTGAAGCAGCTTGCCTGGACTTGTAACGAACAACAGCACAGCCTGCCCTGGGGGCAGCGGGAGCTTGGGGACGGGTCACTTCAATGGGGGAACTCTGTGGAATGGAGTTCAGCACCTGGGCCAAAGCTCTGTCAGCTCTCGATGGGACAAGCAGCCCCAGTGGTATTACGGCCCTTTGAGGCTGGAGGTTTTTCCAAGGAGCCTCAGAAAGTTGGGTGTCCAGCTCCTCTTGCACTGGGTTCCTTTAGCTATCTCACCGTTGTTACTTACAATGCTCTCCTAGGCAACAGATACCAACCCTCTACCCCAAGCAGAGTTTTCACCCCAGCTGGGAAGAAGAACCAGAGACTTAATGAAATCACTAGGGACCTTGCTATCACACTCAATTGTATGTGGAAGGCGCTCAGATACCACGGTGACAGGCAGCAGGATAAAACCCTACCCTCGATTAGCTTGGGTACAAATACCTGATTCGCGTAGTCAGCTACCTGGAGCTCCGACCTCCCAGCTTGCTCCTTTTCTCTCTAATGCCGAGGTCGACATTCTGGATGAAATTGGCCCCTGTGCAGCAGGCCAGAACTGGGCCTACGCACTGAGGCGCTCTGGACATATGCCTTGTTCTGGCCTCTGCACAGGGGCATAGTTCATCCCTGGTGAAATGGGACACTTCACAGCAAACCATGCAGAGCCCGTTTCCCCCTTCATTTCACAGTCACTGCCCCGTTCTATTGAGAACCCTGCTGCATGCTCCACAGGGAGCAGGAACCTGACAGTCTTTTCTAGAGGCACAGAGAATTCCTCCTTCGATCCCCTGGAGAAGCCCTTGGCCATTACCTGGTCAGCTGTGTCCATCACTTTCATCAGCACTGGCTGCTGGTCCACAGTTTCTTCTGATGTGTAGGTGTCCTCTGCAATAGAGATGAGCTCTCGTGAGCGGGGAGCCGGTGGGACGACAGCCTTTCACATTCTGGGCTACACTCTCCATGAAGGCTGAGCCTCGGGTATTTACATCTGCCACTCAATGGAAGTGGAGACATAGGCACCGACTCTGTGGGTGCTCCGGGGCTCAAGCACCCACGGAAAACCAATAGTGGGTGCTCAGCACTCGCCAGCCACAGCTGTTCGGCGGCACCACCGATCAGCTGTTTGGCGGCTGGGGAAGG